TATTATAGAGCTTCCCTCTTAATCTACTAAAACTGCTTTATCGTTTAATTTACAAAAACTGCTTGCTTCTAAATATAGTGGGTAGAAGAAATATGTCATCAGGAGACTTGATTATCTGAGTATATTATAAATATATCTACATAAAAGATGCAATAGAAGATTTATGCTTGAGAATGAAATATAGGAAATAAAATCACAATTATAAAGTTTGACATAAAGTGTAATTCTTGTAAATGTTTACATATGTATGTTTGTATCAAGCATTTTAATTTTGACACATATGCATGGCCTTTTGAATCAGGAAAATGCATTGAGCTGATAGGTATATTGCTTCCTAGCTTGAAATATATGTGTGAAGAAAATTTACCATTTTTGGAATTGGAATTAAAAGGAAATATTTGATATTTTAACTATTACTCTCACTAGACATGCATATATCTATAAAATATATATAGCTGTTTCAATAATCTTTATGTTGTTGTGCAAAGGAGTTTCAATTCAACATGTCAATTTATGAATACAGTGCATCTTGATCACTGTCACCTCTTCCATCATTCCTCCCATCTATCTCAAACCCACCCATTCCCTCAAGTTACCTCGTTCCATTTGTGAATGCACATACGTGAGTATGTGCATTTAATATTAGGATTGTATTTGCCCACTATTTGTCTCTCTAGTTGTCCCCCTCTTGTTCATCTTCCAATCCTCCCCAGACAAAACATGCTACAATTTTTAAAAGATATTTGCTTAAGCTTTATACAAATGACATTACAATGGCATACATCTTCCCCCTCCCCCCGCCAGTCCTGGGGCTTGAACTCAGGGCCTGGGCACTGTCCCTGAGCTTCTTTTGCTCAAGGCTAGCATTTTACCACTTGAGCCACAGCGCCACTTCTGGCTTTTTCTATTTATGTGGTACTGAGGAATCGAACCCAAGGCTTCATGGAAGCTAGGCAAGCACTCTACCACTAAGCCACATTCCCAGCTCTTGCTTTGTTTTTATTGAGACATGGCCTCAGCTGGTCTAGAACTTGCTGTGTGGGCTAGGCTGGTTTTCAACTTGCAATCTTCCTATCTCAGCCTCTCAAGTGCTGGTTCAGCCTCTCAAGTGCTGGTATTACAGGTGTGACCCAAAGCCTGTCATGTATATATCTTTTGGCATATGAACAATTTATTTCTTGTAAATAACCTACAATATGGTTTTATTTGTTGTTTTATTTTGTTTTATTTTTTATTTTGTTTTATTTATTTATTTATTTTAAGTCCGGTCGTGGGGCCTGAACTCTGGACCTGGGCGCTGTCCCTCAGCTCTTCAGCTCAAGGCTACCACTTGAGCCACAGCGCCACTTCCGCCTTTTTTCTTTTTGCTTATGTGGTGCTGAGGAATTGAATCAGGGCCTCATGCATGCAAGGCAAGTGCTCTACCACTGAGCCACCTTCCCAGCCCTTTTGTTTTATTTTTTGGTGGTTCTTGCTGAGGATCATACCCAAGGCCTTGTGCATGCTAGGCATGACCTCTACAACTAAGCTACACTAGTCTTTGTTTCTAATTTGTCAGTGCTAAAATTAATTCTTCAGTGAATTAGGAAACAAAATCGAGTAGTATGCAAATATTCAGCTTTACTGAATAGTGCTAAGTTGCTTTCTAAATTTGTGGTATCAAACTATAATGTCACTAGTGTTGTATAGAGGTTATGTTTCAAATTTTTCCAATACGCATTTTCCCAATACACGAGATAAAGTGTAAAATTGGATTTGATTGTAGTTTTCAGTATAATACCTAATTTCTAGCACAGAGGCTGTGATCTATTTCTCCAAACTGTCCACTTATATCTTTTGCCAATTTTTCCACTGTTTTGACTTTTATTGAATATAGATTTTAATGTAATCTGAATAACAGTTCTATTTTTATAGATCTACCTTGCATGTATTTTTTCAAGTTTTGAGGCTTATCTTTTAATGTCTCTATATGGTAATCTTATAATACAGAAGTTTAAATGGTGATACAATAAATATTATCAACATTTCCCCTTTAAATTTATGTATCTTTGCACTAGTCCAAAGGCAAATTATTTAAAATTATCATATATACTGTAGACAATGTTTGTATATTTTTTCATAAGGATTATTGATGGCATTTGCCCCATTTGTTCATGATTGCATCCTTTTACCCATAGTTTATGTTTGGGTCAATTTGAATTTTTTTTTTTAAATTATGCTCTTGTGTTCTTTTATTTCTGCAGGCATAGGAATGATGTATTTCTATTTTCTTATGGATATTTCCATGTCAACTGGAATGTTCCATGCCTTATGTGATTTTAGTTGGGCCAATCATAGTCTATAGATTGAATCACTGCAACTAGTTCAGTGCCCCAATTATTCCTAGTTCTCTGCCTCCTGGGGGAATGGTGGGACTGCATTTCTGCTGTCTTTGTATGACTTACCTCATGAGTAGAAGCTTCAAACTGAAGGTCTAGCAAGCAGCCTATGATTGATTAACCACACTTTCCAGTCTTGGTTCAGATTCATGGACACATGGAGATAGAAAATCTGAGAGTAAAGTTCCAGAGCAGAGCTCCAGATGACCTTTAATAGACATTCGGCCAAAAAAAAGCAATTCTTTATTGTATTAAATGGCTGAGATTTTTTGAGTAGTTGGCTGCTCCAATATGATAAGAGTTAATATGGGTGTTACTTGATCATTAGTAGAGATAAGTCTTAATAAGTATAGACATTTATATTTATATTATCATGTCCCTTTTCAGTTCTTTTCCTTTCTCTTCCTTCTAGTTGCATTACTATTAGTGTAATTCTCTAGCACCCATCAATTGTCAAGAAGATTTGAATTTTTTTAAATTTTATTTAAATCAAACTTAAAAAAATACAGGGCCTTGATGGTATCCAATACATGCCTTAGTGTCACATGGAGTTATAAATAAATATGTAGAAGCAGACATCACAATAAATTTCAAGCTAATTTTCAAGAGTAAAAATTGGACACACATTTTATAGCAATTTTACTTTTCCATTTGCTTAGTCAGGCCTCAAATGTGTAAGGCAGGATCTCTACATTGAGCTACCTTGGCACTATTTACCTTATAATTCTTAGGATAGGTTTTTCTTTGCCTAACAACAATCTAGGTCACCGAAAATCCTGTGTATGTCCCCAGTGTAGCTTACTAGATAGGAACTTCCAAGCATCTCTTGCATTAACAATTATGAGCCACATAAAACTTCTGCATATCGCTTTTGGCCATGATATAACTATGTCCAGAGTAAATGTTCAGGACATCTTGGAAGGTTTTATGGTATTAAAAATGTTCCATATTAAATAGAAAGACTTGGAAAAAATTATATTAAGTGAAGTGAGCCAGGTCCAAAGAAACATAGGCCCCATGGTTTCCCTTATTTGTAATAACTGGTATATGTCTGAGTCAAGCAGAAAAGGTCAGATAAGTTGATGTTAGGCAAAATGAACCCCAAGATAAGTGTTCAAATTTTTTTTCCATGTGATTGTTTCTAAAATATAAGATAATTTCTTTGTTACTTTGTATGTCCCTCCCCCACAATATAACCCCTGCTTTCACTGTATTTGATGTTGGTATAATTTGTGGAGGGGAAGGGAAAAAACAACTTGTTTAAATAGGGATACAGGTGGACCCATTGCAACAACGAGATATACAAGTCGTTATGTTGACAAACGAACTTTACAACTTTGGCCATGGGGTGGGAGATGAGGGGGCAGAGGGTGGGGTGGGATGGGGAAGATGGGAAGGGATAGGAAGGGGAAACAAAGGAGGAGGCAACAATGCTTGATAAGAAATGTACTCATTATCTTGCCCATGTAATTGTAACTCCTCTGTATGGTATTTTCACAATAAAAAAAGTTCCATATTATTTATCTGGACTTACGATTGACTATAAATTCTTTTGTATTGACAAAGAAAGTCAAATGGCTGAAGGATTTCACTCATTGCTTTACTACAGTTATTCTCTAGTGTTATGACATGAAAGTTGTCAAAGGACAATGGGTTGTGTAAATATTTGATGGCTAGCATTTCTTCTCCTCTCCTAATATTTCCTTCCACAAGCCATTATTTCCTCCCTTGGAGTGTTACCATTTGTAAAGAAGACGCCTGAAAAAACCTGTGTTTTACCTGAAATCCTTAACAGTAACGATGTAATGATCATCTGTATGGCACCATAGCAAGGGGCCATTTTTGAAAAAATGATACCTCAGCTTCCTGTTATTAGATTACACTGGTCCCACCAACCTGGTCCACTTTTAGACTGGCTCTGATATTAAAGCTCTATCATTTTTTGTTCAGTTGATCACATTCATGAATTTGCTTGTTCAGTATCTGACTCATATTTCTGGAAGGATGAAGGTAAAGACAAGATAAAGAGTAAAGCACCAAGAAGGTATGTCCTAAGGCAGAAATTAGCCTGCACACAATCTCTCCACTGCTCAGTGTTTCATTTATTTTAATAAGTGTCTCTTAAAATGCAGAATCATAGATTATAGTTGTCTCGGGAGGAATGGAGGTGGGGAAAGAAGGGAATTACTGTCTGGAGAAGCGGAGTTTCATACTCCCATGTTAATATGAAGCACATGTATACTTTAATTGGCATGTTTGCTCTGAACATGCTAGCTGAGGTGTTGGTAGACAGATTAATAGTGACTGGGGAATTTAGAGTCTGGAATGTGCAGGCTTACATTTCCAGGCCAACAGACCAAATGCAGAAATGAGAAGGAATGTAGAATGGATATTAGACAATTCCCACTTTGTAATTTATTTTTATGAATTCTGATTTGGGTTACTGACATCCTGATGCTGAAAAATGATCTCAAGTGTCAAAAGCTACCATTTGGATCTATAGTAATTTCACTGAAGAGCATCGAGTATTGCTGAATGTTAGAATACTTTCTTGCCAAGCTTCTTGCTCCTTAAGAAAAGAACATTGATTGGTTAATCAAGGTTTATGTATTTTTCTTTTAGGTGGTTCTTTGGAGCAATCAAAAGAACAGATGCAGAAAAGCAACTATTATATTCAGAAAACCGTACAGGTGCCTTCCTAATCAGAGAAAGTGAAAGCCAGACAGGAGATTTCTCCCTCTCAGGTATGGGCATTGTTTTGTGAGATTCCAGTACGGGTTTGAGCGTTTATAGTCTTGATCTCTTAATTTAATCTTTTTCTCTTGAACTTCAACATGCTGTACAAGCAGATTCCAATTTATTCTGTCCATTTAAGTGTTCAGTGCCTCTTATTCAGAGTCATCAGTTCTATCATTCTCTCCCAGCCTGTCTGTTTCTTCCCCTGCTCCCCACTCCCCAACTCCTGCCTGGCGCAATTCCAAACGTCCTTTATCATATATATTAACATTGAGTATTCTTGCTGTACTTGTTCCCTGTTTCCCTTTTTCATTCATGCACCCTCACTCCCACTACTGTCCTTCCTTTACAATTTATTTCAGCTTCTGGTAGTCATTTTGTTAAACTGTCTGCTAGCTGTTACTCTATGGATATCCATTCCTTTTTATACTATACATTAGCTAACTTAATGGTGTAAGTAGGCATATGCCTCTATGTATGATTGTATGGATTTAAGGTTCACATATGGGAGAAAATATACATTTTTTTGTCTTTCTGGGTTTGACTTACTGAGTATAATGTTTTCCAGATCCATCTATTTCTCTGCAAATGATATAATTTCTTTCTTCCTGGTGGTTGCATAAAAATTCCATTGTCTATTTATAGCACATTTAAAAATCCATTCATCTGTGGTAGGGCCTCTGGGCTGTTTCCATAACTTGGCTATTGTGAACTATGCTGTGATGAACAGTTGCCTTTGTTTTGTCCTGATGTGTCATCTTTTGGATAAATGTGGTGTTTAGTAAGCACAATTTCCATAGTATTTGCACTCGTTTATATTCCCAACAACATTACAATAGGTGTCTTTCTTTCTGCAACCTTGCCAGCATTTTTGCTATTTGTGATCTTGATGACAGTTGTTATTGGCATGAGATGGAATCTCAATGTCATTTTGATTTGCATTTCTTTTATGGTCAGGGATGTTGAACATTTCTTCATGTGTTTATTGAACATGGACTTCCGTTCAGCAACTTTGCCCACTTATTAATTTGATGATTGATTCTCTGGGGTTTTAGTTTTTGAGCTCCTTGTGTATTCTGTTTATTAGACCTCTGTCAGATGGAGAGTTGGAAAAGTCATCTCCTATTCTGTAAGCTTTCCTTGTAGTTCGAAATTATATCTTTTCTGTACAGCAGCTTTGAAGCTTGATGTGGCCAGTTTGTCAGTTCTCCCTCTTATTTTCTGCACTCCTGAAATTCTATTCTGTATATATGCATGAGTTCTAGTATTTTCCCTACATTTACTGTATTGGTTTCAAGGTTTCTGCTCCCATTGAGGCTGTGAGCCATTTTGATGTGATGTAAGTACAAAGTCACAGACACGGATCTGGGGATTCTTGTCTTGTCCAGTTCTGTTTTCTTTCCCTCAGTCTGGGGAGCTGATTGTTTTCTCATGGTCTTCTTGCTCTCTCCTCCTATTTCTTTTCTTTCTGTATTAATTACTTAAGTAATTAGCTTTTATTCATTGTTTTTGGTGGCACTGGGGTTTGAATACAGGATTTTGTGCTTGCTAACCTGGTAGTTTATTGCTTAAGCCACACCTCCAGCCTGCCCTGTTCTTTGCTGGTTCTTTTTGAGCTTGGTATCCCTTCCAACCTGGGTGCAAGTCTAAGCCACAATTCACCCACTTGGGGCTTTCCTCATTTCTGAGGGTAGAATGTCATAAACTTATTTATTTTTTATTTTTTTGCCAGTCGTGGGACCTGAACTCTGGGCCTGCATGCTGTCCCTCAGCTTTTCAGCTCAAGGCTAGCACTCTGCCACTTGAGCCACAGTGCCACTCCTGGATTTTTCTGCTTATGTGGTGCTGAGGAACCGAACTCAGGGCCTCATGCATACAAGGCAAGCACTCTACCACTGAGCCACCTTCCCAGGCCTGTCATTAACTTTTCAGTCCAGGCTGAACTAGAATTGTGAACCTCCCAATCTCAGTCTCTTATGTAGTTTGGGATGACAGATACTTACCCCTGTACTCAGCTGTGGGTTGAAAAGGGATCTTGGTAACTTTCTGTGCATAGACACAAACTTTTAATTCCCAGATCTCCACTTCTCAAGTAGCTAGGATTATAAGCATGATTATGAGCACAGGTATAGCCTTGCTAAAATCTGTGTTTTTAGTTCTATTGCAATTCTGTAGTGTATTTTTAAAAATTAAATTCTCTAGGTGTGAAATATTCTCTCTTTATACTGTGTAGGCCTGCCACTTACATGGTCACCCTCTTCAAGCAAGTATTCTGCTTCTCTAGCAGATAGAAGCCTTGTAGGAGAAGAGGTTTTACTTTCCTTCATTCATGTTGCTTTTCAGTAAATGCTTATCTTCCATTATTTTGTGTACCTCATGCTCTCTGCCTGGCTCGTCATGGTGGTGTTGCCTTTCCTGACTCAAATTGGATCCTCACAATAGTGCACATCTGTACCAAGCCAGGTGATGTTATAATGACTTCTAGTCATGAATAAAATAAAATGTTAGATAAACAGAACAGCTCAGAGAGGGAATTTTAAATATTTCTGAGGAAATTTTAAATATTAAAATATCTTTCTCATGCACTTAAAAATATATATCTCATGCACTTGACCTCTATTTATTTACACACACACACACACACACACACACACACACACACACACGCATTCTCACTCCCATACACCTGAAAAGAAATTGAGGACATTTTATAGATCATGAACTATATCCATCTGTCTAGACTGTGTTTAGAATATAAATGTGTGAGTTCCTACGTTAACACACATGCACGTAATTGTGTATTTGCGATATGATCCAGCGTTCATAATTTTAATTTCTGTTTTGTATTATCCTGTAAATATTTTTGAATGCCCTTTGGTATTTCTATATTTTGCTCTGAGAGACTGCATAGTTTCCCATTGCATGCCTGTACCATCATTTTATTTGACCTATTTCATCTTTAATACTTAAAACAGTTTTGAGTTATTTTGCTATTATAAAATATGTATGATACAGTGAACATCCTTGAAGATATATATTTGAATATTTCCATGAAAATGTTGTTTTCAGAGGAAGATATTGAACCTTTTTGAATTCTCTGTGCTTAATAAGAAGAGCTATAAGAGAATTTCTTGTCTAACTACATTCCTGTTTGTTTGTCTGCCTCTCCCAATATTCATATATCAAATTTGGTGGTAGTTATTTAGCCAAAAGCTGGATTAAATGTTTCAGAGAAGCATTAAAATATAGAAGAATAATATTCCCACCAGGAAAACAAACTAAATGTAGAATTACCTGACTCATGTTTGAATAATGCTCAGGCTACAGTGACTGCTCAGAACCCTGTCTAGGAAGAATATGCTGGAACAAAACAGCTTTGCAGGCTTAGAAGAAAATTAGGAGGATATTGGCTGCAATGTGTGGAGAATACTCTAGAGCTTGCTTATGGATTTAGGAAGCTTTGTAGGCCTTGCTTAGAGACCAGCATATCATTATAGATTCTTTTTCAGTGAAGTCAAACAATTTAGTCTTTCAAACAAATTATCTGATTGCTGTGTATTCACTGGAGGATAAAGTAAATACATCCTATTATGTCCTAGTGAAAGGGAAATTCTCTTATTAGCCAGAGGGAAGGATTTAGGGGGAAAAGATGGGAAGAAAAAGGTCTTCAATTTATCTACATTAAACAAACAAACAATCCAATTGCTGACTGTTGATTATCACTAAGGATCTTCTGATGTCTCACTCATAGATCTCTTTCTTAGTGCAGTTGTCTCCTTAATCAGTCGGAATTGATGGTCTTCAATTTTGCTGACTGTTCTGTTGCTAAAGGAAAGCAAATAATATCCCTTTTCAATCTCTGTCTTTCCCACATGAATTTTCCTTAGAAATATTGTCTTTATTCGTTGGGCAGCAATGGCTTGCAGCTGTCAGAGAAGAGCTTCATGAGAAAGCATGATTTATTGATGGTGGGGTGGCTCCTGGACACAGCAGCCCAAGGGTGGGGTAGGTACTAATTGGGTTGCTGTGATCCTTGAATGCCTGTAGGCTTTTGTGAGGTCTGAAGAGATCAGAAAAGAGAGTTGGGGCAATGACACCTCTCCTAACCACAAGACACTAATTAGCTGTGAATTACGGCAGCCGCTTTTGGATATTACATATTATATGTGGTAGCCAGAGAATCTGTCTTCATTAAATGCCTGACAGGCAGTTTTAGTGGCCTTACTATTATTTGTCATTGGGAGCGAATTGCTTTTGTTATGAAAAAATAAAATAAAATTCCGACTGTATTTCAACAGATTTGACTATTTTCTGGTATCAATCAATTATGTAAAAGGAAATTATTACTGCTGTTAACCATTAATGGTAATCGGATGTTTGGTGTCCTATGAAGTATTTTTATTCCTGTTTAAAGCACCCTTTAAGGATGTGCAGTAGAGGGTCATCATTGAGCTGCTGAAAGTTTCAGAAAAGATTTTTCCATTGTATATTGTCATTTTGCTCTAGGCAACTCTATGTGTAAAAATCTATGGAGCAATATAGGGATTTCCAAGTTTTCCCTCAGTGAAATCCTTTCAAGAGCCAATAGTAATAGACTGAAATGGAGATCACACGTGAAAAAAAATCTCCCTAACAAGTGCATGAGGAGCTGATGTTACTTGCTGATGTTGTTGGTTATGGGTTCAACAAACATTCAGAATACTTACTATGTGCCTATCCTCTGCTAGATAAAAGGTAGTAGAGCTCAGCAAGGAACCATCTCTGAATTCAATCTGGAAGATTGTAATACAGTTGTCTTATTGTGAAGAAAGAGTGGCCAGGAGCCAAGTCTTAAAGGGAGTACCAAAGAAGGCTTCCTGGAGGAGAGGACTTGTGTGTTGTGTTATTTTTTTGTTACAAGGTGGCAATGTGAGAATAGTTATTTCTGGCTAACCCATGTTCACAGTGTTAGGAGTACATCTGGTGTGTGTGGAATGGTGGCAAGAGTGGAGGATGTTTCAGGGGTGTG